TGCTGAACCTGACCAATGTTTCTCCCTCATCATTTAACTTCTCTCTGCCTGCAACCACCTCTGGAAGCCCAGGCTCCAGGGGCTCCAGATTTCGTGGTTCTTGCACTGCAAGCAGCTCTGGAGAGCCCTCGCACACCGGGTGAGACGGGTGCTCCTCTGGAGAAGGGGCTGCCAAGCCACCCCCTGCATGGGGCACAGAGAGCACTCCCAGGCACCAGGAATGCTGCAGCAGCACAGCCAGATGTCAGAAGTGGGGACGAGGAGTTTCTGAGCAGAATGGGCAATTTCTGTGTCTGTGTAGGCAGGAGTAGAGGGGAAAAGGAGCCTGAAGGTGCCCGGAGGCAGGAGCTTACCGGAGGGGCTGATAAGAGAGCTGGTGCTAACTTCACCTGGAAAAGAGAGAATGTCCTTGAGAGACCTTGTCTTTATTTGCCAGTCCTGAATTCCCTTAGCTGCCAGGGCAGGCTCACAGGGCACTGGAATCCAGTTCAGTAGAAACATAAGTGAACAGAGTCCTCCCACCCCACCCGTACCCATCTGCCCTTCAGTGCCTGGATTTCTCAGTGCCTATCCTGCATCAGCCCCTACTGAACTCTGGATTTATATTCTGACTCTCAGGCACAGGTACTGTGGGCATCTGGATGGGAAGGTGTCTGAAATCAGGCACTCCTGGCTCCTGCAGCAGCAGGACAGAGCTCAGGCACCCGCTGCAGGAGGAGGGCAACTCCAGAACTGAGCCTGGGCTGCAGAAACTCATCAGCAGATGAGGTCCTTTGAAAGGCAACGGGTGGCAAAGCTGGGGTAGGTGTGCTGTGGGGTAGGTGTGCTGGAGGGCAAATGTGTGAAGGCAAGGGCAGCTTGGTGGACATATTTTGGACTGACTGCTGAATAGTTTTCTGGGAAGCCTCAGGTATTGCATGACAGATGCTAGCTGGGAGGTGCCTGATGGCTCAGCCAGGAGCTCCAGCCTGAAGGAAAGGCCTCGTGGTTCTCTGGCTGCTGAGGCACGATGCAAACATACATTCAGTTTCTCTTATCGTGTCACAGAAGTGGAAACAAGTCCAGAGGGATAAAGCAACTCACCCCCAAAACCACAGCCAGTACAAAGGCCAGTCAGTACAGTTTCTCAGCAGCCTCACTGCTAAAGCACCATGCCACTTGTGCCCCTTTTTCTTGGGACTGCCCTGAGCTGAAGCAGAGCTTCCCAAGCACCTCCTGCCTGAAGAATCCTCAGTTCCCAAGGATCTCCCACAGCTCTTGGCTGTGAACTTCACACACTTCAGCTAAGTGTTCAGGACCCCAACACTGGTGAATTACTTGTAAAGAACACACAACACTTAGCAGATTGTCTGGGAGGACTTGTTTAATCTTCACTAAAAGGCAAGCTCACAGTGTCAGAGGCAAGGAGGCACAGAACAGCATTGCAGTTACACAGGCTGGAGCTACACAGGGCAACTGGGTCACACGAGGAGTCTTTTGCACATAACATGCCTGTAACACTTACCAGTTGCAGTTTCCAGGTCTTGCCCATTGACCACCCGTGGAAACCAGCCTGCAAGAGAGGAGAAGAGAAGGGAGGGAAGAAAGGGCAAAGGCATTTCTACAGCCTGCAGGCTTTGTGAAATGTCTGTGAGCTGCCTATCTGTCCAGGAGACAGCACTGCCCTCTGCTGAGGAGAGAAATGCTCTCCTCTCTGCCTCAGCCTCCGCTGCTGCTGCCTGGGTTTGTTCTTCAAAGACTTGTGGATACAGCAGGTCCTGATCCTACCCCTGCTGCTTCCACCGGGGCCAAGGGCTGGCACAGGGACAACAGGGTAAATATCCCCAGATCTGCTATCAGACTTTGCATTTCTGAAACCTCATCTGATGGCATTTGGAAACAAAACTCACTCTGCCTCCCTGCTCTGGAGGTCGTCAAAACCCCCACCTCCATTTCATCAAAGAGGAAACCTAAGTCATGGAAACCATGTGCTTGGGGTCACAGAGCAAGCCCCTGGCACGGTAAGAAACAGACTGCAGGCCTTGTAGCTCCTTGGGCAAGTAATTATTTGTTCCTTCATCCTGCCTGGGTGTGCAGCACAGAGCAGAAGAGCTCTCTCCTCTCAGCCCCCGGGGGCACTGCAGAGGGAGAACACTGGAGGCTTGGCTGTGCCTGCTGTCTGGAAGAGGAGGAATTAAAACTGAACTAGACTGTCCAAAGGGTGAGAGAGCTGCTTCCTACAGCAGCCAGGGAGAGGAAAATATTTCCTGCTAGCCACAGAGGAGGAAAATGTCTGCACAATCAGGGTGGGATGAAGTAAGGAGTTGGCAGGAAAAGCTCAGTGAGCTGGGGCACTGCAGGGAAGTGTGCAGGACCAGCCCCAAACACAGTACACCCTGTGACGTCTGAGGAACTCAGCCCCAGCCTGCTGCTCAACGGGAGCACCAGGGGGGAAGAACCATCACAGCTGGGGCTTTGTCTGAGTCCCTCCTCACCACAAGAGCACTTGTGGGCTGCAGAGGGACTCTGGGGAGCCCTGCACGATCCTGCTGTGCAGCCTCACAGGCACTGGGCCCTGCTTTGCCTTCCCCACCCTGCTGCCAGGGAGGGCTCAGCTGCTGGCCACCCACCCCAGGGCAGCCAGACATCTGTAATAACGTCAGGGGGCAGAGCAGTGCAGCCCAAACTCTGCCTCATCCCTCAATGGTAAACAAGTAGAGGAGAGAAATTATACTGAACACTTGCTCACTTGTTCCTGACACAAAAGGAAGGATGCAAATTCTGAACCCACTACAGAGCCCAGCAGCACCAAATCTGAAACTTGAGTCCTGTGGAAAAAGGAGGGAGGCTCCTCACTTGTTCTCTGTCTCTGAGATGCCAACTCCTGGTAGCTCTTTTCCCTCCCTAGGAGGTAATGAGAAAACCAGCCCAGTTCCAAAAATACAGGACACAAGTGAAATGAAACCTCTGAGACAGAAGAGGGGACTTGATCTGATGTTCAATCACTTCAGTTTAGATTTGCTGTGGTACTCAATTCATATGCTTTATCAACTATTGGATTTTATAATCTAGGTTGCAATATATTAATCCTTGAGGTCTAAAACTGCAATCCTAACTCACCCAACCTGTAGCCTCCCTAAACCCAAAAGAGCCAAGGGGAGACCCGATGGTGATTCCTGGCATTTTCCAGGTCAAAACAAACAAACAAACAAATCTAGAAATGCTAAAACAAAATACACAAAAGGAAGAATTATTCTTTCCATGCCTCCTTCATGCATTACAAAACCCACAACTTTTTTTTTCTACCTCCAACTTTGAAGGCCACCTAGGAACTCATCTCTTGGACGCCTCACCTCCCTCGTGTCACAGACACATCCTCTGCTCTGCAGCTTTGCAGAAGGTGCTATTTGGGGCAGAATCAGGATGCAGCATGAAGGGAGGATTGAAAATCTACTGGAATAACCTGCTCTGACCGTGACAGGCGCAGTCACCTGCCTCCTGCACAGTCTTTCCTGGGTGAAGCTTTATCCACTCACAGGAATTAATCTTTTGCTGTCTGTCCTGAGTTTTCTATTAATGTCTGATGCTGCCTTCTTGTTTTGGGTCTGAATTTTTGCCAAAGTAACTCCAAGCAAGCAAAGATATGGAGAAACAACACAGAACAACAACAGCAGAGTGGTTTGAACTATAGAGGTTAGGTTTCTCCAAGTAGCTACACAAAAAAAATCTACATGTGGCAGCTGAGTGGCCCAGAACCAGGAGATTGCAGCAGGAACTGCTAGTGACAGCAAACGTTTCACAGCCGTGCCAGACAGCCTTGTGGAGCCCTGGGAAATGCCCTGCAGGTCTTGCAAATACAGGTGCTACAGCAGTCTACAGCAAGCACCAGGCACAGCCAAGACTCTTCAGCTCTGGACCTGGCTTTTTGCTTAGCAGCTATGCCTGCAGTGGAGGCTGTGGACGCTGTCTCTTATGACTCCAAGTACTTACTGGAGAGTGGACACATGTGGGAACCAGACCCCAGTTCCTAAATTTATCCTTATAACCCTATATCCACCTTGACTTCCCTGTTGGGTCCTTCCCCATTCACTGTCAGTCTACCCATTGCTGTCTTTCTCCTCAGGTCATTGCACTGCGTAGGAAACTCCACGAGGCCAGGGTGGAGGAGAAACCCTCCCCCTGGCATAGGGTCCTTCCCCATTCACTGTCAGTCTACACGTTGCTGTCTTTCTCCTCAGGTCATTCCACTGCGTAGGAAACTCCACGGGGCCAGGGTGGAGAAGAAACCCTCCCCCTGGCATAAGGACTCACCAGCTGGTGACAGGGAGAGTGCCAAGAGACACAACAGTATGCAGGCTCCAGAGGTCTTCATCCCTGGGGAG